GAGATGTATGGATGCAGTCCTCCAATCTCATGGCAGTTATAAACAATATTAATTATTTTTCCACTGTAGCATGACTTTATATTTCAAACTGTACGTTATTTCTGTTAAGTGACAAGACTTTTGTCCAAGCAAATTTAGACCTTACTGTCCTAATTAAATTATTAAAAATCAAGGCATGATCATATTTTGTTTTGGTAAAATAAGCATAATCTAATGGCCTTTGCCTTTCATTTAAGCCACTTCTGATACCAAATGATCAGCTATAAGTCACGTTATTATTGTTTCTAAAACATGGGTAGGCGACAACTTTTGTCAGGTAGTGTATATATGTGAAATATCAACTTGTATGACATAAATGTTGTTTGCATATGTTAGATTTTGATGTGGGATGTAAAAACAGACAAATAAATAAAAAAATAATAAAAAACATGACCAAAAAGTGGTCAATCCATGCATTACAATCTAAAGAAGAGTGTACAAGAGCGTGACAGAGTGCGGTCAGCGGCAGCAGTCAGTGGAGACTCTGTGGCAGGAAGCAGTGCTGCGGGAGCTGATATGTGACCAGGAAACTGGCAGGAATCAAACAGTAAGCACGCAGAAACAGGAAGAACTGCTGGTCTCCTGTCTGCTGAGTGTTTGCTCAGCCTACCACTTGGTTCCCATGAGAATTACTAAAAAACAGCTAGAGTTATTAAAACTCAACTCTCAACCAGCACTGGGTCCAAACCAGAACTTATAAAAGCATGCGTTCCTGCTGGTACCACGGTGCACTGGTTACTCCTAAAGAACACTTTTGCAAAATGGTACTTAATGACATCCCAGAGGGTGCTAAAACTACAGAATCAATCACAATGTCCTAATGGTGATTTTAATGAATGAACTGCTGCCAACAGTTTTATGTGGTATTTCAAAACTGCATAAAGCAGTACTCAATGTGGTATGTAGACCTTAAAATGTCTCCTGATTTCAAGCCTGGATTTTACTTCCCAGAACTTATTGTGTAGATCTTTCTTTGACAATATCAGCTCTGTTGTATTTTTTGAGTTGTGTGTGTGTATGTGTATATATATATATATATATATATATATATATATATATATATATATATATATATATATACTTTTTTATGTTCTGTTAGTTGCTAAACCTATTAAAAGTTTCAACAGTTTACTGATTTAATGAGAAAGAGTCAATAAAAACTATGAATTGATGCATTGAATGGTGTCTTTGCTAGTGTCTACATAGCAATAGTAACAAGAACTGGCCAAAGAAACCAAGAACTTCAACAAAGTTATTACAAAAACAAGAGCAAACTGCCTGTAACTGTACTATATAAAAGAGATCAAGCAAACTATAGGAACCAGAACTAAAACTAGTACAAGTTTTATGTTCTTAACACATGACTTGCTCTTGTTTGACTGACATAAAACACTGGTAAAAAAAAAATGACAATAGTTCCTTGCAACAACAACAACAAATTTATACAACCCCAAATCAGAATCAAGCCATCACAGAAGTGCAAGTCAACTTTGCCAAGGGCACTGACACAACCCAATACCATGACAAACCCTGTCTTTTGGACTTGTTGCTGGTAATGGTCTGGATGATTCTTTTCTTTTTTTGGTCTGGAGCACAGTGTCCATTTCGTCCCAAAAATACCTGAAGTACCGATTCATCTGACCACAGTACACATTTTCACTGTGTGATGGTCCATCCCAGATCCTTTCGAACCCTGAGAAGCCGATGGTGCTTCTGGACACTGTTAACATAGGGCTTCCTTTTGGCACAGTGCAGTTTTCACTGGCATGACTATGCATTGTGGTACTTGACAGGTTTGCCAAAGAAATCCTGAGCCCATGTGGTGACATCGCTTATAAATGAATGACGATTGTTGATGCACTGTTGAAGGTGAAATATCCAAATGTCTTCATATCTTTTTTTGGCGAAACACTGTTTTTAAAATTTCAATAATTTTCTCACGTATTTGTTGGCAAACTGCCAACAAACTGCCGATCACGTGACCATCATCTTTTTTGATCATCTTTGCTTTTAAAGGTCCTTTCATGGATGCTGCTTTTGTACTAAATCCTAATTACAATCACCTGTTGACATTACCTGTTTCAAATAACAATTATTTACCCAATTTACCTGATTATTTGCCCTAAATGGCTCCTGTTCTAATGTTTTTTTGGAATGTATTGCAGGTCTGAGCAAAATTTGTTTTATATTGTTTACAATGAAATACAAGTCAAAGTAAATTTAGACTTTAACTTTGTCCTTTTTCTATTTGCGTTTTCCATACTGTCCCAACTTTTTTTCTGATTGTATTTATGATTTTATTCATTTAATAGAATGAAATAAAACAAAGATAAAATCAATAATACACAGTTAAATTAAAATAAATAGCTAGTGCTGCTAATGTATCTAGATTATTCTGTTAATGCAAAAAAGCTGTCTTGTCAGCAACATGTAGTGAAAAATATGGTGTGAAATATGGTGAAAAATGCAAATTCAATGTACATTTTAAAAATATTTACAAATAAACATTATGCAACTGGTCAAATTTGAATTAAAAGACTAAAGTAAGAACTTCTGCAACAATCTATGGGTTATATCAAATTTTTAAAACAATACACTTTTTCAACAGTGTATGAAAAACACATCACATGTGAGAATGTGCGTGTGTGTTCAAGCAAAGTGTGTAGCCAAGCAAAACACTCTTAATGATAAAATCCCTTGATTAAAACACATTCAGACAAATCACTTTTCTTTCACAGGGAACTAGATTTTCAGCTTCCATTACCAAAGGAAATTAATGTTTTTCAGATGCCAAAGTGGAGTGTAAGACCACCTAAGTGATCAGATGCATGGGCTTTCCCAGTTAAACAATAGGTCTGGGAAGTGAGATGTCTGGGTCATATTTCAAAAATGCCATGGCAAATAACTAAGATTAGCAAAGGAAAAACACTAAACAAACAAATGCATTTACCAGATGCTTTTTGATACAGCATTAGAAGTATACTGTACAATCAGTTAGAAATGCTTAACAATGCTTAAACACATTAATCTGACATAACAGATATGCATTAATTACAGACCACCTTATTTTAATAGAGGTGAGATTTGTTTGTATGAATGGTTATGTGTTAAAATGAGTGTCAAGAAAGTAAGAAAGAAGAAAAATATTATAATGGTGCAATGACAGATGCTGCAGAAGCTCTTATGCAAACAGCAATAACAGCAGTTTAAGTGACAAACACAGACACCTTGACCATTTGTGTCTCCTGCAAGACATACAGTCCATTGTTGAAGAGCTCGGGCTGTTTTTTCCTTTTAAAGAGAGTGAGGCCATCACAGCTGTACTCTTACTCTTTGTCTCTGTCCTTCCTTTCCTCTTCATTTTCTTTGCACAGCACTGTACAAATACTGTACTGTCTCTGGTTAGCAGTGATTACACAAAATTAATTGAAATTTTAGTGCTCAAATATAGATTAAAGCTTGTTGATCACTTAATGAATTGGTATAGATGTTAATATTTTTGCTTTGTCAGCAATAAAAATGTTTTATTGAAATATTTAACAATTTTTTGGCCTATCTGTTCCAAATTAGCATTCAAATGTTATAATGTAGTCATTCAAATATAAGTAACTATGTTTAAAACAGAAATATTTGCGCATAAGGTTTTATATTAATAAAAAGAAATAGAATATTTGTCAGTGATCAGTAGTGTGTACTTGCTAATATACTGTAGATTAAAGTCGGTGTGTGTTTAGATTGTCGTGTATATATATGGTTTATATGTAAATAACTATTTCATTTGAAGACAAAATTATTAGCAGTTTCCCAAATTATTTTACTATACCAGAGAAATCATTTTCACTGTATTCCCTGTCATTTTAATTTTCTTTAACTAATATTTTAACTTTGGCTGGAATTAAGCATTTTTTTAGTTTAAAAAAATATTTATAAAGAGAAAGTTCACCCAAAAATTATAATTGTACATACAACGTTCTCAAGTGGTTTTAATCCTTCATGGGTTTCTATGGGTGTTCTATTGAACACAAAACAAGATATTTGAAGGAAGCTTTAAACCTGGACCATTGACTTCCATAGTAGGAAAAACAAATACTAGTCAATGGTTACAATACTGGAAGTCAATGGTTTTCAGATTTCTTCAAAATACTAAAAAAAAAAAAAAAAACCTCACAGATTTTGAACAAGTGAAGGATGAGTACATGATGACATGTTTACCTAGATTATCCTAGTATCCTAGTTTACACAAAACACCCACTCACAAACACTTTGGGAGGAATGAGAATCAAATAAGAAAACTATACAGACTCTTTTAAATGTACACAAAATAAACAATGATACTATATTTTAAAGTATATGGCCCATAAATGTAAATAAAAAGAAGGAAATAACATAAATACAATTCAGGGAGAATACTCACACAACCAGATGGCACAGTACAACATCAAGACAACTTTACCCCAGACAATGTCAGTCAGAATCTGATGAGGACAAAGAGTTAAAAAAAAAAAGTTATAATGGGGTCTTAGTTTTATAGAATTTGTCAGTAGAGCCCTGAATGGAATATTTACCTTTTCTAGAGAAATAAATGACATGAGTTCTATTAATAAGCTATTAAGAGGGGGAGTTTGTTGTTTGTTTCTATATGATAAATAGATATTTAATGTCATCCTTGCTATACAGCACACTTAATAAATTACAGGATGCATTTAAAAACAAGATCTACATCCATTTTAGATGAAGCACCACTAAGACAAGTGTGTAAAACCCCGAAATAAACTAAATAACTACACAGAACTCTTTAGGTTAAGATAATTTATTTTGTCATCAGTGCAAATGTCAACAGCAAGGTGAAAGAAAGAAAGCAGAGCTCCATTTCACACTCGGTTACAAATTAACTGAATCCGAGAATGACATGCTAAAGACACACCTCCCTCCCGCAACCTTTGCACAACCTACCTGCCATTTCCTTAATCTTGGAAATGCTTCACAAAAATGAACCTGTTCATGATAAAATGTGAAGTCTGACAAGAAAAAAAACATCAGTTTTGAGATATTCCAAATAGCCGGAAGAGCCCCTTCTCAGGTAAGTCTCACAACACTTTCAATGTATGCTAAACAAGTAGAATACCAGTGATGTGTATGTTTGTAATATAACTTGTAACAAGCTTGACATGTGACTGCTCTGGAGGACAAGTTTCTTATACTCATAAAAATAAAGGTCTTATTGGCATCGATGAATATGGGCACTCAGAAACGTTAACATTTAAAATAATTATTTAGATATATAAAATTATTTCACACTAAGAAATATTGTGGTTCTTTTAAAACAATAGTTAACCTAAAAATAATAAAAAAAAAATCATTTACTCACACTTCACTTTTTTTTACTGTTGAAGAGAAAAGAAGATATTTTGAAGAAAGCTGAAAACCTGTAACCATTGACTTCCATAGTTTTTGCTTTAGCTACTATAGAAGTCAATGGTTACAGCTTTTTAGCTTTCTTCAAAATTTCTTCTTTTGTGTTTGAGAATAAAGAAACTCAAAAAGGTTTAACCGCTATAAACAGTAAATGTTTATTTTATAGTGAACTATCCCTCTAAAAACCATGAATTATTGGTTCTTTGGGGAACCACAAATGTTATATAGAACAAAACAAAACAACTTCAGAAACAAAACTTTCAGAACCTTAGTTTAAAACGTCATTTTAGTTTGCTAGTTTAATGTTTAATGATCACACATTACTATCAACCCTGTCAGCCCTCATGCCATTTGATTTTCTGTTGTTAGCCACAACAAGCTGGAAAAACTAGGGTGAACTCTTACAGAAATCAGTACAGGTAACCATGTTTAAAAGATTAGACAACACTGTCAAATGCAGTACATGAAGATTTGAAAGGTAAGCCTAACACAAATCATACTAATGTCATTTTATGCACTGCACTAATACTATGCAGTCTATAACATGGAACAAGAAGCTTTGTGCAAGTAACAGTTTAAATTCGAAGAATAATAATGAAGTTTTGAAGCTTAATGCTTCTTATTATGTTGCAATATCAACAATGCAAAGTCCTTAGTGAGAATGTAATCAGTAACAAACAGCGTAGGAAAAGACTAGGGAGGGTATACTGTAGTGTATACTTCTTAAGGAGGTCAAGTGAAAGACTTCTTTTCGTGTTGTGTTTGTTGTGGTATCGGTGAATCTGCAAGTATAAGGAGTCAGTTCTTTTTTGACCACACCTTTTCTTTCTCACATTTATAACAGAGAAAGTTGGCTGGCTTTTAGATCTTGCAGGTATGCTGTTGCTACAGGGCCGTCTTGAGACAGGAAGAGATAAAAGCAGCTCCTGAATACTGTTTACAGCCAAATGAATAGTGGGAGAGAGTGAGGGAGTGAAAGGAAAGGCCCCTATAAAAAAATGTACTGAATCCTCTACAAGCCGTCCTTGTGGATGTCAAGATGAGATAAGAAGGAAATACAAAGCCTTTGAGGTGGAACATGCATGTGTTTTTACATATGGAGTTGATTCTAGCTTATCAACTAGAAATTTGTTTTCTGTTCTACATTTTGTTGAATTAATGATTCATTTGTGTGCATTTATTGTGCAGCCACACATATTCACTTTGAAATTATGATTTTTTATTTAATCTAGTTTTTTTAAAGATAATATATTATAAATAATAATTTATTAAATAATTAAATAATGTTAATTAAATATATTGTATATTATGACCCAGTGCTGGTCAGTTTAATCCACAACCTAATAGTCAAACTTAAATTCCTAACATAATTCAAGGGTAAACTGTAGATTTGAATATTGGAGCACTAGGCATTTACTTCACTATAAAAAAAACTTTATTGTTGTGTACTGCATTTTTCACACTTTATTGCTCTTATTATGCTACCTCCAGGAGGTCAGGATTCTGATCGGTCACTTGCAGCATTCTTTTGATAAATATGCTTACATAATGATCATGAAACTGCATAATTGTCCTATGCAGGCCATTTCCTAATGTGTTAGTTTCAGGTCACTTGTTCAACACACATTATAACAACAATAATAACATTATAAAATCTCAAATCCATTCATTTATTTGCTAAAAATATAGCAAATATGATGTATAAAATATATTTATCAAAATTCATGGTTACTGTTCATCCTTTAAGGGTGTATTATTTGGCATATCTAGCTATACATTAATTCTACATTCTCATGTATTAATGTTTACTATGTGTGTCTCATGTACACAATATTATTGTTTACAGTAGATGTTTGCTGAGTCTTGTGGGTTCTTGAATGTGTCAGCATGTAAAAGTTCCTGTTTTGTGTGTGCATAGTGTGAATCAAATCTTGCATACAGTATATGGCAAATATGGCAAAAGCTGATTTGAATTTATTTGGTCAATTTCTGGTTAAAATTTAAAATAAAGTAAATGGGTAATACCTAGTTATTTGAAACATAAAGTTTTAATATTGGTCAATAATTATTCAATAATTAGTGTTTTGGGGCTTCTCTTTTGATAAAATCTTATTGTTAATTATTAGTAAATATGTCTCCAAAAGATTCTTATGGTATATAAATTAATGTAACACTAATGTCACATTTTGGTACAAGCTACAAAGTGTGTGTTTTTCCTAATGACTTTGACACCCTTGACCAGAGATGCCCAAAGTAGGGCCCGCGGGTCATCCCACCTGAAAAGAGAGGGAGCATGATGGGGAGGTGTTTGGGGCTAATGCTGTTGACAGAGATCGTCATTTCAAATTTAACGTATCCTTTTGTTTGTTTGTTTTTTTGCTAAGCTACAAAAAAGCCAACTGAACTTAAATGATGCACCTAAATGTTGTAAATGAATCAGACTTTTCAAATGTAAATACTGTCACTTGACAGATGTATAGGATATCTGTGAGTAAATCGAGGTAGGACTGCTCAACTAGTGTATTCCGCACTGAACTTCATTGAGTTATAAATAGGATTGTTGATGTTTTTACTGTAATAAGTTCATTATTAAATGTTATGGAATAAATGTTAAATATTACGGAATAAATTAGGAAACTACCGATGGCAAATATAATATATAAGGTTTGGTATATATATTTGGCCCACAGCCCTCGACCAAGTTTGCTTTTTGTCCCTTAAGAAAACGTTTGGGCACCCCTGCCCTTGACAAACTAAAAAAACCCAAAGCCTGCTATGAGGTTTTATATTTAAGAACCATACTTGTACTCAAACTCTTCAACTCAGGCCACTTCTCTGGCTGCTATTTATTATCTGCCTTTTATTGTGATTTGTGCAGGAAGCAGGAAAACATGGGGTGTGTGACACACACAGTGTGTGTGCTCCTGTGTTTTTGGGTCTCAGGATCAAGCACTCTCCAGACTGTGGGTCCATGTACGGTCAACAGAGAGACGGTGAGGAAAAACAACAGTCACTCGGGCCTCTTTTGTTCCCCGAGCCAGAGCGAGCGCTGCTACATCAGGAGTATCCTGTTTGTAGGCACTGTTTCCTGTTTTTGGTGACAGAGGTTTACCCAATCTGCTGGTGGTTTATCTTGTGAGAAAATAAATGTCTTGTGTTGTGTTTGAAAACACAAGCAGATAATCTGCTGTTATTTTGTTTAAAAGTCATTGTAATATTTTATTTATTTTTTAAATAATACATTATCATTCATTAGCAGTTAAAAAATCTAACCCAATCTAAGTCTAATTAAGGAGGCATCTGATTTACAGATAAATTACACTAAACTTCATTAATGATTATAAAGGGATGTGGTTTAAATATTAAATAAATATTATTTGATTGTAAAACGTTGTAGGGTGAATTAATTGAATCTGGGGTGCTTAATGATAAAATATGCAATAAATAACAATACATTTACAAACTATATGTTTTAAACGAATTCTCAAGTTTTTTTTTTTTTAATTCAAGATCCCTACTATACATTTTTGAATGAATACATGATGTTTTCTCCCATAAACACTCATTTGATTACTTTTTACAGCCATTTTTTCAGGTACATTTGGGACTGCATGACACACAGTTTTTCCTAGTTTGTGATAAAAAAATAGCTTACATTAGGTTAATACAAATCATATTTTAGTGGATTTTTAATGGTTTCAAGGTTCATATATGAATCAAATTGTTTAGATTTGATTCAATTCTGATTTGCAAGCTCATTTTTTTAATGTTTTCCAGTTTGCTTTAGCTAAATTAAAGTTAAGTTTCTCACATTAGGCGGTGTAATATCTTGTTTTATAAGATTTTTTACAGTACTTAATTCTGAATGTCCAATTTTATCTCGGCCTATAGCATATATAATTTTGTTTTGTAAATTGAGGCAATAACAAAAAAATATATTTTTTTTTTAATTAGAAAAATTTACTTATATATAAAATTGCATAATTACAGAAACTGATGTAGGCTAAGACAAATATATAGATATTAAAGATGTAAATAATATTTATATAATAAAACTTTAATTTTAACAAACATTAAAAAAATTGGTTATTTTCAAAATAAATAAAATACTTCCGCCGCCATTGTTATTTTACTTGTTTTTTTATTTATTTAACAGCACTACACCAAAAATATTATTATTTTTATTTATTATCTGATGTCTCTTTTGCTGACTTTATCCTACTGCAATAAATCATTTTACAGCTTATTTCCATTGCACAAGTAGTTTCATAATTAAATAACTCTTCATTCTTTCTTCAGGCTGCGTTTGATTGCAGTGGGAAAAGACTTACATCGGTACCGAAGCACATCTGGATGAACGTGACCTACTTGGATTTGTCTGACAATCTGTTAGATTTAACTCGCATTGACAGTTTCAAGCGCCTGAATCGATTCAGCAACTTGGTTACACTGAACCTATCAGGCAACTACTTCCCCCTACTGTTAAAAGAGCATCTCTACAGGCTTACTTCTCTTAAAGTGCTAGACTTGAGTAGATGCAAACTGGCCGCAGTGGAGGCAGATGCTCTGAGCAGCCTTTCCAACCAGTTCGTGCAAATCAGAGGAGAACCAAACAGACACGAAGTAGGAAAACTGAAGAGCTTGCTAAACATTGATGGTACGAATGCTTTTGTTTTCTCATTATTAAACTGTTATTTGATGTGGTACAAAAAAAATTAGGTATATAGATTTAAATTATATTACATTTACCTATTTTTTGATTTTTGTAAATTAAACTAAATAAAATGAAAGTAATTTTACAGATTACAATAATTCAATAGTTTTTAACAATGTCAAATGACTTAACATTATCCATCAGGTAATAAATATACAGTAGTAACATATTATCAATACATCATAAAATTTAGGTGAGTATACTTTCGTACTTTACTGAATTTCAAAAATATTGCAGTTATTTACATTAATTCATTGTTTAAGGTTTCAGGGAATTTTACCACATGACATTTAACAATTTGAAACAATCTGACATTTGTAAGCAAAGTAGCACAAATTCAACGGCATTTGGAAGTAAAAGACTATAAAATGTACTCCAAATACTCTTTGTTTTATTTACCTCATAACATTTTTATAATGTTGTATGTTTGTTTTTATTATTTGATTATCTCCTTTTTGTTTTATTCTTAATTTTTAAATCAGTATTTTAATCAATCTATTTAATTTCATTCATTCATTTTCTTTTCGGTTTAGTCCCTTTAATTATCTGGGGTCACCACAGCGGATTGAACCGCCAACTTAACCAGCATATGTTTTTCACAGCAGATGTCTTTTCAGCCACAACCCAACACTGGGAAACAACTGGGAGAACATGCAACTCCATACAGAAATGCCAGCTGACCCAGTCGGGGCTTGAACCAGGGACCTTCTTGCTGTGAGGCGATCTTGCTACTGTGCCACCGTGTCGTCCAATCAATTTAAATTGTGGAATCAAAATAATGATAAACAAATTATGTAATATTCAAATAAATAAGTAATTTTGATGCACTGTTAGACTTATTTAGTGAAAAAACACCCAGTGAAATTGCTCTTACATTCTTTACAGTTTACAGTAACTTACTGCATATTAGAAATTCGGTTGTCTACTTTAATCAAAGTAATCATGAGACAATTGAGACAATGAAAATATGTGTTACTTGTTTGTAATTTATTAAATTCAACAGTAAATACTAAAAAATAAGCTTTTGTACAGCTTTTAAAAATGTTAAATAAAATGTAAATAAAATGTAAATAAATCCCAGAAAAATTACTGTAAAAAAGGTCATACTGTGAAATTAAAAAGGGCATTTTACTATAAAATTAAGCTGCGGTAAGGCTATTTTAGTGTAAAATTAATTAACAGGTAAGCTATTGTAAAATTGAGATGCGGTAACTTACTGGTAACAGTGTTGTAAGTTACTGCAAAAATACCATAAAATCCCTGTTAAACTGTTCATACGTTGCATTTATAATTTAAGTTAAACATTAGAACGCACAAAAATTACATTCATTATGTTGGCTAATGGGGCTTTACATTGGCGCACTGGGTTGCACAATTGCCTCACAGCAAGAAGGTCGCTGGTTCGAGCCCCAGCTGGTTCAGTTGGCATTTCTGTGTGGCATTTGCATGTTCTCCTTACATGTTGCATGTTCTCCCTGCATAATCTAAATTGGCCGTAATGTATGTGTGTAGATGCAAGTGTGTATAGGTGTGTCCTAGTGCTGGGTTTTGACTGGAAGGGCATCTGCTGCAAAAAACATATGGTGGATAAGTTGGTGGTTCATTCGGCTGTGGCGACCCCTGATAAATAAAGGTACTTAGTGCAAGGAAAATGAATGAGCACAACAATTTAAGCACATTCTCAAACTTTATGATCATGAAAGTTTGTCTTGACAAACTATTTTTAATATAGTTTGCTCTGCTTTAATTATATTTATATGTAATAAACTATTTGACTGCCAAAGGAAATTCTCATATTGAATATTTGAACATGGATGTACACTTTTATCTCACCACCATTCATTTGTTTTTCCCATGGCAGAACATTCTGAGGATACTGACCGTGGAGCTTTTCTGCGTAAACTGCTCGCAGTGGAAACAAACGCTACAAATAATGGTTAAAACCTTTTTTTAATCCAAGTTCATTACCATTGATTTCCAAATGTATAATCTTGTGTTCCTCTGATTACTAACTAACCAATATAAATACCATTTATAGGCACAAAAGCAGTTATTAAGGATCAAAAACCTGAAAACTCTTCAAGCAGCTGGAAGGTTCTTGTGGCTGTTCTGGTGTCAGCAATCACCCTCTCTGTTTTTATAGCTGTAATGGCCAAATGCAAAGTTGTACACAGGTATCTGGCGAGCTACAGACACTCCAGACTCAGCGAGGTAGACGCCACTAGTCAATGTGACCCTGGCAACTTTGAGGTGGGGTTTGCGACCCATGGCGGCCCCGGGACCCGTGCGGTTGCACCTGACATTGAGGAAGATGACGATGGCTTTATTGAAGATAACTATATTCAAGCCAGTGAAAGTGAGAGAGCTACTAGAGAGACCACATTGACTGATGATGATGATGATGATGAAGAGGAGGAGGAGATTGAGTTTAGTATTGGTTAGTCATAATAAGTCTAATGTTGTATTATGTGATGATATTTGTAATAACTTTCATTGAGAAGTCACTAACAAACATTTAGTATTGCATAATCAGTGGTTAAACTAATAATTGAATGATTAATTGACAAGAAAATTAATATGCAACAGATTCATTATGTGTTTGAATGTTTAAAGGAGTAGTTCACCCAATAATTTACTTACCCTCAGACCATAAATATGGTGGCCGAGAGATCTTAATTTGCTGCAATTTAAGAAATCACGGGCAATTGCAAATAACGGCAGCAAATTGAGATAATATGTTCAACCATTTGACAGCACACATGCTGCAAATCCTCACAACATAAACACATTTTTAAATAACATGCTGCATTTTCTAACAATGCAAACAGATAAATAAAACAAGCTGCATTTTCTCACAACGCAAAAAATTCACAAAACGCGCTGCATTTTCTCACAACACTTTCAACTAGCATGGAGCACAATGAAAATGTTTCAAGGGGACCCTAAAACTTGACGGACCCGACTATTTAGGTTATGTGCTGCGTCCCAATTCGCATACTTATACTACGCCCTAAAAGTATGTACTTTTTTTGTGAAGGAAAAATATATAATTTTGAGCGTGTTAAAGAAGAGTTTGCAAGCTTTGGGACATACAACTTCCTCGTTAACAGATCGTTATGTTGCTTAGTTATGAGCCCTGTCAATCATCCACACATCATCCACATTTCTGTCATTTTTAATGTGCTACCTTATTGGAGAAGTAGCAGCAGGATAATCTCCCATTTATGAGTCTTTCATGCAGAGAAATTTCCTGGTGTTTGGATAATTATGCATTCAGACATTAATGTCTAAACACGTCTTTAAATAGTTCAGCATTGTTGTTGCAGATGAAATATAACACAAAAAACATGATTTAAATATTAATTCAAACAAGTTTACTGAAGCCTCTCTACTTGACGGTTGATCTCACCATTCATTCATTTTCTTGTCGGCTTAGTCCCTTTATTAATCCGGGGTCGCCACAGCGGAATGAACCGTCAACTTATCCAGCAAGTTTTTACACAGCAGATGCTCTTCCAGCTGCAACCCATCTCTGGGAAACATCCACACACAAATTCACACACACACTCATACACTACAGACAATTTTAGCCTACCCAATTCACCTGTTCCTGGAATTCCTGGAAACCGGAGCACACGGAAGAAACCCACGCGAAGGAAGGGAGAACATGCAAACTCCACACAGAAACACCAATTGAGCCTAAGTTCGAACCAGCGACCCAGCGGCCTTCTTGCTGTGAGGCGTCAGCACTACCTACTGCGCCACTGCCTCGCCCTTGATCTCACCATGTTGTAGTTTATTTACACTATTTCCCCGCGTTTGTAGTTCTAATCCAATTCACATCCACCGCACAATATATTGTGGGCAATAGCAGCGATTAGAGTATGGACGGTTCTACACTTAAATTTTCTTTTTACCGGAAACAGTAAACCATCTAGGAACCTTTGGGGTACTGTTTTCAACATACTATGATTTGGGACATACTAATTCTATTTTTAAATACTTACATCAAATAATTTAGAAGGATAGTATGCGAATTGGGATACAGCAATGGTTATTTAGGCTAATAAATCACAGAAGACAAGGGAATAAGGATGTTAAAATAAGCCACGGCAAAGCGGCGTCCGTCATGTTTTTGGATCACCTTGAAACATTTACGTTTCTGTTCTTTTTGCAAGCGTTTTTAGAAAATGCAGCACGTTTTTGTAAATTGTTTGTGCTGTGAGAAAATGCTGTGCATTTTATTAATTTGTTTGCTTTGTGGAAAAATGCAGTGCTTTTTTAAAAATGTGTTTGCGTTATGAGGATTTGCAGTATGCACTGTCAAACTGATGAAGATCTTTCCGTAATTTGCTGATGTTTTTTGTAATTGCATTTGTTTTCTTAAATTGCAGCATGTTAGGCTCTCTCGGTCACCGTACATAAATGATGCAAGTAACTTTTTTTCAGTAGAACAACTGGAACTGTTTGGCACTTTGAGAGATAAACAACAACAACATACAGGAAAACATGTGACAAGTCATTAATGTATAAAATTGAATTGATTGGTCGGCAAAAAATTTTGTTTTTGGGTGAACTGTTCCTTAAGCCACATTAATATTTAATTGAGGTTCATTATTTTGTAGCCTAATGCTTTCTAATTATTTCAGAAATTCACACATTTTGGCAATTTTGTACTTTTTACAATAGTGTATGAAAAGATGTGAATCAAAATGCAATGAAATTTGAATGTACAGTAGGCGTATTTGAACTATAATCTTAAATCGGATGTTTGCTAACATTAATGAAACTTTATTTTTTAAATAATAATATTAAAATATATATCTAGCGTTTTTGGGCCATATACTGTACAGTCTATTACATTTTTGTTAGTTTTGTGTTTCACTTCAGTTCTAAATTAAATGATTTTTTTTTGTTGAGAAAATTGCATTCCTATATTTTCCACTGGGCGCCGCCGTTGTGCTCATTACTAAATCCAAATGATAAATTATAATTTTTATTATTATATATTGTAAAAATCATTTATAAATGACACAAGTAAACATTCAAGCCATAATATATTTCAGTCATGGCAAAAATTAGGGGTAATATTTTATATGTGCCTGTTGTTTCACCTAAAGGTAGCTGAAGTTGCGTCACGCTGTTTCTACATTACAATCGAGCGACGCGACAAAACTCGTTTGATTATAATGGCAGCGGTTTAATTCTGTCGCGTCGCGGTGATCAGCACAGCAACAAGCTCGGGCTGCACAACCGGTTAGACGCCTACAAACCCGGAAGACTCGCGTGTTAGGGATGGGGAATATCTTTCGGCATTTCAGCTGATTAAACTTTAGGAAAATTTGCTAAACTTCGACACCTGTCAGTTAGTTCTTGTCATCCAACACCTTTGACGAGGATGGCCGCGTCCGCGATCTTCATCCTGGACCTGAAAGGCAAGGTAAGTGCGCGTGCACCTGTCGGATGAAGGTCGGACAGTTTATACTCTTGTGTCACACTGTTTGAAACCTGTATAGCAAAGAATATTTGAGGTTTAAGGATCGTTTGGCAACATAAATTGTATTTACTCACTTTGAGGTTTATAAAAAATCCTATCTAATGATCTCAGGAGTGATACAGCCTCCACATCACACTCAAAGTTAACAGGACTGTCACTGAATGAAACTGGAGAGTTCACCTTTCACATATTTCATAACATTTAAATGCTATTATAGAAAACAAACATCAACTCGCTTCTGCTAATTAAAATGTACCCTACTATTTTTTGGGGATGTGGTGAAGCTTAGTATTTTTTTTTTTTTTTGTAAAGTAAAGTAATTTACTGTAGGCTACATGACAGCCTACTGTATAGCCACAGCATTTGTAGCATTTTCTTGTTATTAAGCCAAAAGTGATATTGTGTATGTAGAACACTTATTAAAGGCAAACAAATCGTCTGTATTTAAATTCAAACATTTGTGAAAATGTTAAAATACATACTGTAAACACAATATTCCACCGTCATTCAGTGTAGCATGTATAAATCAATTATTTTAATCCTATGTAAATATATGAACGAATAATAGTTCGATAAAACATAATAAATAAAAATGTATTGCAAAGTATAAAAGTTTTATATTACAATTATTTTGTATTTTGCATGGTACTGTGATCTTTAAATAGATCAATAGGATTTTATTGTCAGTTTATTGACACTTAAATAATAAATAAATAATAAGGTTAGAAAAAAAAACATTCTGGTATGTACCTGTATCACATGTTGTTGATCTTATTTTTAATATTGTCCTCATTTATAAATCACTGTGGATGAAAGCATCCAGTGGATGATTAAGTGTAATTATGTCATCATCAAATGATTCTTGTTCTAAAAAAGACTGACAGGATTTTGGTAAATAAACTATTTTTACACTGAATGACATTTTAGTGGGTATCTTCTGTATATCCTGATTAATTTTAAATGCATTATGTCGATTTTTTTTTATTAATTAATTCATCAATATTTTTATTTTTACGTTTGTTATTCAAGAGAAGATCACAGCACATTAGTTTGTGAGATGTAGTGGGTGGATGGGAGTATTTCCATGAAAACAGAGCCTCAGGGTCTCAGTGGAATGGATTACCCTCCAATATACCCCTGGATTTTGGCACTGCTGATGAAAGCGCTCTTGTCTGTGCCCTAGAGCAATCCAATATCTCCATTTGAAGGAATATCTCAACACTAGCCACATTAAAGTCAGACTTCACTGATCCTTTAAGTTTCATCCTACTATAAACCTTGAATGCACCTGTTAGCAGAATAAAAGTGAAGAAAAAAAGTGACCTGGACTTTTGATTGTATCTTACATTGATTAGTAAAGATATTGATGTCAAAGCTTTCTTTGGTTGTGTGTTGGCAAGGGCCGGTATAAGGTTCTGATGATATGATAACCTTGGCTAAAAATATCATGATTTCACAGTATTGTGATTACTGCTCTCAAATGTATTCTTTTTTAAATGTCTGGGTAAAAAGTAAAAACCTGTTTCCCTTTTGAACACAATACTATTTTAAGAAACATTTATAATATATATGAATAATGGAATAATAAACATATCAGGATAAATCATTCAAACAATTCATTGACTTCTGCTGTCTTAATGTGTTTTTAATTTATTTTTACAATTTAAAATGGCATCTTCGGATATCTTTTCTACTGCAGATACTGTTGTCCTAAAAAAAAAACATACCGTAGACAACTTACACAACTTACACATATCGTAGAAATAGGTTATCATCCCATGCTTAGTTGTGTGGTTAATATTATTTAAGGCTGATTTGAGTCAATGCAAACAAACCATGTACTTTAAGTGTCTTGAAGAATTAAGAATTTTGAGGCCATAGGAAACCTCTTTTGTGTGATGGCTGATGTCAATTTATTTTAGAAAAAGATATATTTTTCTTAGAGTAACCATCAAGGTTTTCTAGAGTTAAACAAAAATTCTAAGTAAGAAAAGCATTTTTTGCAGTTTACCATTATGTTTGACTGCAGTTTGAATGTAAAATAAATGCTATGGGGCAGTAGAGTTTTAACATGGGGCCATATTCTCGATAAAAAGATTATTTCCATGCAGTTTTCTGCACAATACCAAATAAATACACTGCAAAAAATGATTTTCTTACTTAGATTTTTTGTCTCGTTTCTAGTGCAAATATCTACAAATTCTTAAATCAAGAAGCATTTTCTAGACAAGCAAAACATATTTTCTT